ACAAGGCTGAAAGCCATTAATACCAAAACAAAGAGTATTAAAAAAAGACTGATTTCTGCTTTCAGTCTTTTCACATCCATGTATACGTCTGTATACAAGTTCAATGTTTTGCTTTTAACTGAAAGGTAGGTAAGGGTCAAGTTTCTTGGTGGTAAAAATTAATAATGAATGATAGGTTATGTGCAGTGGCTCACGCCTATAATTCCAGCAATTTGGGAGGCTGAGATGGGAGGATTGCTAGCCTAGGAGTTTGTGACCAGCCTGGGCAACATAGTGAGACCTCATCTCTACAAAAAAATTAAAAAATTAGCCAGGTGTGGTGGTGTGTGCTAATCAAAATGCTGAAGTGGAAGGACCGCTTTGAGCCCAGGAAGCTGCCATGAGCCATGACTGTGAAGATCATGCCACAGCACTCCAGCCTAGGAGACAATGAGATCCTGACTCAAAAAAAAAAAACAAAAAGAAAAGAAAGGTAAAACACAGAGCTAGCCGGGCTCGGTGGCTCAGCCTGTAATCCCGCGCTTTAGGAGGCTAAGGTGAGTGGATTGCCTGAGCCCACAGGCTTGAAACCTGCCTGGGCAAGCGAGACCTCATCTCTACAATAAATCAAAAAATTAGCCGGACGTGGTAGCACACGCCTGTAGTTCCAGCTACTTGGGAGGCTGAGGCGGAAGGATCGCCGGAGCCCAGCAGGTCGAGGCTGTGGTGGCCGGGAACGTGCCACTGCACTCCGGTCTGGGCTACAGAGTGAGACTCCAACTCAAAAAAACCAAAAAAACCCCACGGAGCTACCATAAGACCCTGCAACTGTACTCTTAGTTATACAAAAGAAGTGAAAACATGTCTACATAAAACTTGTGCAAGCCGGGCTTGGTGGCTCAGCCTGTTACCCACGCCTTTGGGAGGCTGAGGTGAGTGGATTGCCTGAGCCCGCGGGTTCGAGACCCGCCTGGGCAGCGAGACCTCATCTCTACAATAAATCAAAAAGTCAGCCGGGCGTGGTAGCGCATGCCTGTAATTCCGGCTACTTGGAAGGCTGAGGCGGAAGGATCGCCGGAGCCCAGCAGGTCGAGGCTGTGGTGGCCGGGAACGTGCCACTGCACTCCGGTCTGGGCTACAGAGTGAGACTCCAACTCAAAAAAACCAAAAAAACCCCACGGAGCTACCATAAGACCCTGCAACTGTACTCTTAGTTATACAAAAGAAGTGAAAACATGTCTACATAAAACTTGTGCAAGCCGGGCTTGGTGGCTCAGCCTGTTACCCACGCCTTTGGGAGGCTGAGGTGAGTGGATTGCCTGAGCCCGCGGGTTCGAGACCCGCCTGGGCAGCGAGACCTCATCTCTACAATAAATCAAAAAGTCAGCCGGGCGTGGTAGCGCATGCCTGTAATTCCGGCTACTTGGAAGGCTGAGGCGGAAGGATCGCCGGAGCCCAGCAGGTCGAGGCTGTGGTGGCCGGGAACGTGCCACTGCACTCCGGTCTGGGCTACAGAGTGAGACTCCAACTCAAAAAAACCAAAAAAACCCCACGGAGCTACCATAAGACCCTGCAACTGTACTCTTAGTTATACAAAAGAAGTGAAAACATGTCTACATAAAACTTGTGCAAGCCGGGCTTGGTGGCTCAGCCTGTTACCCACGCCTTTGGGAGGCTGAGGTGAGTGGATTGCCTGAGCCCGCGGGTTCGAGACCCGCCTGGGCAGCGAGACCTCATCTCTACAATAAATCAAAAAGTCAGCCGGGCGTGGTAGCGCATGCCTGTAATTCCGGCTACTTGGAAGGCTGAGGCGGAAGGATCGCCGGAGCCCAGCAGGTCGAGGCTGTGGTGGCCGGGAACGTGCCACTGCACTCCGGTCTGGGCTACAGAGTGAGACTCCAACTCAAAAAAACCAAAAAAACCCCACGGAGCTACCATAAGACCCTGCAACTGTACTCTTAGTTATACAAAAGAAGTGAAAACATGTCTACATAAAACTTGTGCAAGCCGGGCTTGGTGGCTCAGCCTGTTACCCACGCCTTTGGGAGGCTGAGGTGAGTGGATTGCCTGAGCCCGCGGGTTCGAGACCCGCCTGGGCAGCGAGACCTCATCTCTACAATAAATCAAAAAGTCAGCCGGGCGTGGTAGCGCATGCCTGTAATTCCGGCTACTTGGAAGGCTGAGGCGGAAGGATCGCCGGAGCCCAGCAGGTCGAGGCTGCGGTGGCCGGGAGCTGCCACTGCACTCCAGTCTGGGTGACAGAGTGAAACTCCAACTCAAAAAAAAAAACAAAAAAAAAACTTGTACAAAATGTTTATAGCAATATTATTCATAATAGCCAAAGAGTGGAAAGGACTCAAATGTCCATTAGCTAATGAATGAATAAACAATGCTGTGTATTCATACAATGGAATATCACCTGGCAATAAGAAATGAAGTTCTGATGCATGCTACATGAGTAAGGAACCTTGTAAAAGACCACATATGGTATGATTTCAATTATAGGAAATGTGCAGAATTTGCTTATTAATCATATAATTGATTAGTGGCTGTCAGATGTTGACAGTTGGAGGTGATAAAAATGTTCTAGTTGGGCACGGTGGCTCATATCTATAATCCCCAGCACTTTGGGAGGCCGAGGTAAGAAGATTGCCTGAGCCCAGGGGTTCGAGAGCAGCCTGGGCAACTTGGTGAGACCTCATCTCAACAATAAATCAAAAAACTAGCCAGGGGTGGTGGCACATGCCTTTAGTTCCAGCTACTTGGAAGGATCAGCTGAACCCAGCATGTGGAGGCTACGGTGGCCATGAGCATGCCTCTGCACTCAGCCTGGACGAGAGTGACACTGTAAGTAAAAAAAAAAAAATTTTTTTTTTAAGTTCTAAAATTAGATAGTGATGGTGGCACAACTCTGTGAATAAACTTTAAAGAAGGTGGATTTTATGGTACATGAATTATATCGCAATAAAGTTCTTATTTTTATTTATTTTTTTGGTGGAAAAGCAGGATTTATTGAGAGGACAGAAAAGCTCCAAGAGTGGGAGGGGACCTGAGCGGGTTGTCCAAGCTCTTATTTTAAAATATTGCTGTTGGGCCATATTAAAAGAACAGCAGTAGCAGTAGCTAACATGCAGATTAACAAATACAGGTCAGACAGTATGCTATATATACATTATATATTTATGCTATTTTTTTTGTCACAGCATCCTGAGGCACTATATCAGCTTGCTGCACAACCAAACACCCTCAATTCAGTGGGTACAATAACTATTATGGTTCAGAAGTTTACAGCTAGAGGTTGCCTGGCTGTTTCATCTGCTCCGGGCGGGGGTTTGGCTATCTCTATCAACTCGCCTGTGTTGGCCTCAGCTAGAACTATGAATTCTGTTCCCCACAGTCTCTCATCCTCTAGCAGCACAGCCTGGACCTGATCTCACAGCAGCGTAAAGGTCGTAGAGAGTAGAAACCCTTAAGACCTTTTGAAGCCTGGGCTCAGAACCAACACAGCAATACTTCTGCCACATCTAGTGTAGCCTCTTCCAGGTCAACACAGATGTAAGGGGTGGGAAGTAGACTATCTCTTTATGAGAGGAGCTAGAATATCACAAACTTGCTGATATGGAAGCCACCATACAATCAGACGATGGTGAAGTCTGGATGTAAATATAGCAAAGGAAAAGGTTTCCTCTATTTCCAACACTTTGACACCAAATGTGCTGGTTTTCCAATTCTTTCTGGATACCAACCAGGTATCCTATAATTTAGTCCAATTCTGACACTATCTACCTGGAGTTAGCTTCAGATCCTATAAGTCAGGGGCTCCGTCCCACGAGATTTTCCCCCACTTCAGATGCCAATCACAAGTAGTGGGTCCTCAGGTTACTCTGAGGATATTATAAAGTGTAAAAATGAACACCCAGCTGAAAAGGTATATAGGGTGAGGCCCAGAGGGGTCCTAGTGCAGAAGCTGTGTTGTCATGAATTCGGGGTGCCCTTTGCCCATGGATGCATTCACCAACTCAGAACCTCTCCAATCTCAACAGTTTAGATTTTCACGGAGGCTTCATCATGTAAGCATAATTGTTAACTCAATCTCCAGGCTCTCTCCCTTTCATGGAGGATGGGCAGTAGGGTTGAAAGTTCCAAGTTTCTAATTATGGCTAAATTGTTCTGGAGACCAGTCCCTGTTCTGAAGTTATCCAGGAGCCCACTAAAAGTTGCTTCATCAAAACAAGGGATCTTCCTTTGACTCTGAAAATTCAAAGGGATTTAGGAGCTCTGTGTCAGGAACCAGGATCAAAGATCAAATATTAGAACAAAAGATGCTCCTAACATCCCTGTCACTCAGGAAATTAGAAGAGTTTTTAGGAGCTTGGTGTCAAGAACTGGGGTCAGAGACCAAATATCTATTTCTTTCTTGTGTCACACATGATTACTGGACGGGAAAGCCCACATTCTTCATTACTGTGCAATATTTCCTAACAGACTTCCATCCTTCATTTGTGCAGCTATTTGTTGATTTTTATTTATTTATTTATTTTTGAGTTGGAGTCTTACTCTTGTCACTCAGGCTGGAGTGCAGTGGCACACTCACGGCCACCACAGTCTCAACACACTGGGCTTAGGCGATCCTCCCTCCTCAGGCTTCCAAGTAGCTGGAACTACAGATGCACACCACCTCGCCTGACTAGTTTTTGTGATCTGTTGTAGAGTCAAGGTCTCACCAAGCTGCCCAGGCTGGTCTCGAACTCCCAGGCTCAGGCAATCCTTTCGCCTAGGCCTCCCAAAGTGCTGGGATTACAGGCTGAGCCACCACGCTTGGCCCTCTTCCATCTTTTAGTGACTCTTGTAATTACAATGGGACTAGCTGGATAATCCAGGATAATCTCCCTATTTTAAGGTCAGCTGATTTAGCACCCTTAATTCCACCTGCATCCTCATTCCCATTCTCTCTTGTCATATAACATATTTACAGGTCTTAGGGATTAAGAAGTGGACATCGCCGGGCTCAGTGGCTCAGCCTGTAATCCCAGTACTTTGGGAGGCCGAGGTGAGTGGATTGCCTGAGCCCGCGGGTTCAAGACCCGCCTGGGCAACTTGGCGAGACTTCATCTCTACAGTAAATCAAAAAACTAGCTGGGCATGCCTATAGTTCAAGCTACTCGGAAGGCTGAGGCGGAAGGATCGCCGGAGCCCAGCAGGTTGAGGCTGCGGTGGCCAGAAGCAGCCACTGCACTCCAGTCTGGGCGACAGATTGAGACTCCAACTCAAAAAAAAAAAAAAAGAAGTGGACATCTTTGGGGAAACCATTATTTTCTTCCACACCTTCGCTGGTTCAAATAATTCAGGGTGTGTTCATTCAATGAGGTTATTTTATTGAGCAATTAATATATTTCAGACTCTCGTAGGCTCTGGGACATAAACAGAAGAACTGAACACTATTTTATTTGTCTATGCTTAGCTGACAATTCATGAATCAGTGTACTTACTGAAAGCAACTTGAATGCAGAGATGAATAATTTTCTTTATACATTGGTATAATGAAACTCCATTAAAATCATTTTCATTTTGAAGCATGAGCAATTATGTTGCTGATGAGAAATTTTACTACAAAGGTAATGCAGTATAGTGAAAAAAGTTACAATTTTAATTTATTTTTATTTTTTGAGTGAGAGTCTCACTCTGCCACCCAGGCTGGAGTGCACTGGCACCATCACAGTTACTACAGCTTCAACATCCTGGACTCAGACAATCCTTCCAATTCAACCTTCCAAGTAGCTGGAATGACAGGCATGAGATACCATGAGCTATCCATGCCTGGCTAATTTTTTGATTTGTTGTAGAGATGAGGTCTTGCCAAGTTTCCAAGGCTGGTTTCAAACCCCTGTGCTCAGGCAACACTTTCGCTTCAACTTCCCAAAGTGCTGGGATTATAGGCATGAGCAACCATGTCTGGTCTATTTTTCTTTTTAAATAGAGATAGAAGCATGGCATAGTGGCCCATGTCTGTAGCTACTCGGGAGGCTGCAATGGAAGGATCGCTTTAAGCCCAAGAGGTTGAGGATACGATGAGTCATGATCATGCCACTGCACTCCAGCCTAGTTTACAGAGTAAGACCTGGCTCAAAAAAATAAATAGAGAAGGAGTCTCAGTATGTTTCCTTCTTGTTTTGCCTTCCCAAAATGGTGTGAGCCCAGGCAACCACTCAAAAAGTTGTTTTTTTTTTTTGAATTGGAGTCTCACTCCGTCACCCAGGCTGGATTGTAGTGGCATGCTCATGGCCACCCCAGCGTCAACCTGCTGGACTCAGGCCATCCTTTCGCCCCAGTCTTCCAAGTAGCTGGAACCACGCCTGGCTTACTTTGAGTTAATGTAGGGATAAGGTCTTGCCAAATCGCCCAGGCTGATCTCTAACCCATGCACTCAGGCAATCCCATCACCTTGGTCTAAAGTGCTGGGTACAAGCTTGAGCCACCGCGTCCAGCCACAAGTTAGGTTTTTTTTGTTTTGTTTTGTTTTTGAGTTGGAGTCTCACTCTGTCGCCCAGACTGGAGTGCAGTGGCCACTCCCGGACACCGCAGCCTCGACCTGCTGGGCTCCGGCGATCCTTCCACCTCAGCCTTCCAAGTAACCGGAATTACAGGCATGCGCTACCATGCCCGGCTGATTTTTTTGATTTATTGTAGAAATGAGGTCTTGCTGCCCAGGCGGGTCTCAAACCCACGGGCTCAGGCAATCCACTCACCTCAGCCTCACAAAGGCGCGGGATTACAGGCTGAGCCACTGAACCCGGCTAAAAGTTAGGTTTTTAAAGCGACAGGCAAACTAGAGTCTAAAGATTAAATTAGGGGACTTCTCTGGGCCTCAGGCTGCTCTTCTGTAAAATGGGGATGAGATTTAAAAGTGCTTATTATTATTATTCTGAGTCAGATTCTCACTCTGTCGCCCAGGTTGGAATGCACTGGCACACTCATGTCCACTGCAGACTCGACCTGCTGAGCTAAGGTGATCCTTCTGCATCAGCCTTCCAAGTTGCTGGAACAACAGACAAGCACCACCACGTCTGGCTAATTTTTCTTGAATTGTTGTAGAGACGAGGAGTCACCAAATTGCCCAGGCTGGTGTCAAACCCCTGGGTTCAGGGAATCTTCTCACCTTGGCCTCCTAAAGTCACGCTGAGATTACAGGCGTGAGCCACCCCGCCTGGCCTCAAAGTGTTGTTTATTCTAAGGAACACATATTCTCCTAATGTGATACTCCATAAATTCTAATTCTCTTAATCCTTTTAGTATAAACATAAGTGGACACCACAAAAGTGTTGGGACTTCATTAGAAAAAGTAAGTATAGGCCGGGTGTAGTGGCTCAAGCCTGTGATGCGAGCACTTTGGGAGGCAGAGGTGAGAAGATTGCCTGATTCCAGGGGTTCGAGACCAGCCTGGGCAACTTGGAGAGACCTCATTTCTACAATCAAAAAATTAGCTGGGTGTGGTGGTGTGCAACTATAGTTTCAGCTAAATGAAAGGCTGAGGCAGAGAGAGACTCCAACTCAAAAGAAAAAAAAGGAAAAAGGAATTATCCCATGAGGGAATTAAGGTTGATTTTCTCTTTAAAACATAGTATACAGTGAAAGGGGCAAATTTAGGACGGTCTTACTTGAATTTTAGAGTTTAAATGGGCTTTTGAGATCAATGTAGTACAGTGATTTGTGAATTAGTTCCTAGATCCCAGGAGTCCACAAACGTGAAAGAAAGGGAAAGACATTCCTCCCCTAATTTATTCTGCTTCACCCTTGGGGTGAAAGTAAATACCTCTGGATTCAACAAAGTTTGGGGTTATTTTAAAAGTTCATAGTTCTCCTGAATTCAACAACTGAACGTCAGTGAAGAGTTCTGAGAAATATGTATTCAGCGGTCACAGAAATCTGATAGGTCTATTTTTGCATTGTTTTATTAACAATTTAGGAGAGGACACAAACTACTAATTACACCCACCAGCCTTATCAACCGTTAACGATAAAAATAAAACTCTGAGCTTTCCCTACGCCTTGGAGTGAATCCTGCTTTACATAGATTATCTCACACATCAACCCTGAAGGCACATTTGGAATTGACTAATTTTAATGTACAGCTTTTGATAAGGCACTAAGAAAAATAACTTGCTGAAGAACACAAGACATGAGACACCGAGTCCAGTCCTGCTGGGAACCCGAATACAAGGCCTCCTCCAGAATCAGCGGTCTCACCGGGTTGAAGATGTCCCAGCTTCGAGACGTGCGCAACGGGCAAAAGAAACAAAATCATCGCGTACAGGAGTGGTGTGAAATCGAGAAATCTGAGCTGGGTCCACAACAACAGCAACTACCAGCGACCCCCACGCCGGTTCTTCCTGGGGTGGCAGCTCCGAGCCCGGGAGGAAGGCCTCCGGGGGAGCGCCGGGCTCCCGGCCTCACTCCCTCCCTCTTGGAGATTGGGAGTCCCGCCGCTCTCCCGCATCCGCACGACCCCCGAGCGGGGCCACCCCCTCACCGTGAGTCGAGGACTGGGTCTCCCGACGTGGTGACTGCCACACGCGGTCAGGGGCCGCCTCCGAAGCGCCGGTCCCGCATCTGCGGAGAACGCTCGGGTCGTCGGGCGGGAAACCACGACCGCGCAGCCGCCGCGGCTTCAACCACCCGGCAGCGGGGGTCGCTAGGCAGCCGCAACGCGAGGGAGGACGGGCAGGCCAGCCGCGGCACCGCGGCCGCGAGCCCGGGGAGGTAGTCGGTGGCAGGTCTCTGCCCGCCACTCCGGCAACTCCAGTCCGGAGGGCGAGCTCTACCCGCGTTCGCCCGTCCTTTTCTCCCCCGCCCCTGCAGCCGACGGGAATGGAACAGGCCCGCGGGGGGGATTGTGGGAGGCGGCGGCGGCCCCGGCGGCGGTTGGTAGCTGTGGGGCGGGAAGAGGCGGGCGGAGGCTTGGGCTAGTGTCGTGGAGGGTACCGTGAGCGCCTGTGTCCGGGCCGGCTCGGCAGGGGCTCCGCGGGAGCGGAGTCCGCGCGAGGAGGCGCTCCCGAGTGAGTTCGGACGGCGGGCTGGCGTGCGGAGCGGCCGAAAGTGGCGTTGGGTGGGAGTAGCCCGCGAGCAACCCGGAGACACTCGCGCCGGCGGGCGGGC